GGCCCTGGGGCACCTGCCGGGCGCCCCGGGGCGAGGGGCTGCGGAACGGGGCCCCCGCGGGCACCATCCGGGCCCCGACCCGCCCTGGGGGACACACAAGAAAACAGGCGTTTTCCCCGTCAAGCAAATACTTTATTTTCCCCTAAATAAAGGGATTGCAATAAATAAATAAATAAATAAAATAGAGGTATGCGTAAACAAATTTTATTTCAAAGCATACTATTACAGACAAATATTTGGATGCGCGCACGTCGGCGGCCGGGAAGGCAAACACAAACGAGACGCTTCAGAATTAGCTCGGGTCAGGCCAGCTTGCGCAGCCTTTCCCTGTAAGACGAGGCAGGAAGGCGCTTGCTCCGCACCAGCAGCACAGACAAGGGCTTTTCTCAGGCAGCAATGGGATTTCTGGTTTGTCCTTGCTCCTCTTAGCTCCTTTTTCAATAATTTGTCGACTGGTTCAGTTCAAGGAGCAAATGGACGCTCTGTTTATAGCCCCATGGCTGGATAAGCACAAAACCTTGGCTTGTCCCAACCCTCTGCCCGCTTTCTCCTGCTCCCATCCATGGGTTGAACCAAGTTGTTGCTGACTGCCCTTCTGGGGTATGAGCTGACCTTTTGTCAGCGTATCAGATATGCTGACAAGGTGAATTCTGCACAGAAACAGAGAAATTGCATTCTCGGTATCTGCTCAGGGTTTAATTATCCTCGTTAAGTTGAGGTAGAATTGTTTCATTTGTTAAACCTGAGCATTGAGAGGAAAAAAACACAAAACCCACCCTCTTGCCTACTTGGAGATCTCACAAATTAGAGACCAGAAAAGTGCTAATTGCAACATGAGTAAAATTACCACTGGCCTGTGTTTGCTTTTTAAGCTCCAGTAAAAAACATGACAGATAAAGTGCCTTGATCTTATTTGTTTGAAATCAGAGATTGGTAATGGTGCACAGAAAGGGAGCACCACGAGCAGTTTGTGGTGCGGTGTTTGGTCCTTTTGAAAGCAAATCATCCCCTTCTTGAAAGAGTAGCCAAGTACCAAAAACCGGATGAGCCACCGGATGAGGTGCGTTGAGTACGTAGCTGTTCTGTACCCTTCACAGCTCTTGTGACCACAGCCTGTGTCAGCTTAGTCTCAACTAGGTTTCCTCTTCAAAGGATTCTTAGGCTTTATCATGCTGAAATAACTGTCACTCAATGGGACTAGTGCTAATGGCCATGGAACTACCTGCTTTATTTTCACCCTGATGTAGTTTTTCTGTTTGAGCTTCATCTCTCTGGTCTAGTTTTTTTTGCATCTCCTCCCCTAGGTTGAGGCTGAGAGCCTTCTAGTTTCCAGCTTTAAGGAGCCCAGGATTTTCACAACTTTGTCAGCCAGAACAAGGAAAAGCTGAGCCACGTAGATGATGAGGGAGGTTGGCAGCAGCTGAATCCTCAGGATGTTAGAGACCTGGAGCAGCTGGCAGGTGAGATTCCAGGTGAGGGAAGAAAGCACGGAGCACAATAGCTGGCGAAGGAAAGAGGGAAGAGAATTGTCAGGGCAACGATGCTTTCAAAACAAGGTAGATTTTCAGTAGGATATAAATTAGGTGAGGCCTAGGTTTCTAGTTCCCTCACCCATCCAGTGCCACCAACAATCCTTGCAGAATGAAGTGGCTCCAGTTCTTCAGGTTGCCTCATTCAAGATAACACTTACATTTTTGAAGAACTCATAGGAGCCAGCCGGTAGCCCCTAGCCAAGGCCAACGTTTTTCTCAGTCTGATTTCTCTAGTGTGTGAACAAAAGTCTTCCTGCGCTGACGTGGTGCTGTTAGTGACGTCAAAAATACCCGGTCCAGAGATACTGCTGATTCTGTGGTCCAGCCCAGTTTCAGGGTGTGTTAGTCAAACAACTGCAGTGATTTATGAGGCCAATCTTTAACTATTTTAGCTTAATAAAGGCTATCACCCCAGCAAAACCAGTGGAAGCAAATGGGGGTGAATACTGCAGTTGCTGCAGGTCAAAAATGTGAGCGGTGTAAGCGAATAGGCAGGAGCGTGAACCATGACAGCGAAGGGGCAGAGCCACCCTTCCCTTCTGATTGCTTATTGCAGTGAATATGTACATTATATGTATTATATACGGTGAAGGTATTGGGAAGGAGAAGACACACGAGGCACTAATCTCTTCCACTGCTTCAAATATATCTTTTGGGATTTGTATGAAGCCTAAGAGGATTGGGACTGGAACATTGGCAGGGACTTCTAGCTTAAGGTCTTAACAAGAGAGTGAAGAATTAGGTCTAATTACTACTTGCACATCCTGTCGTAAGAAATCTGAAACAGCTTCTTAAAAAATATAAACTAGCAATACAATCAGACCATATGTATGAAAGGAGGGTTTCTGTGCTCAGTTGAGTCAAACCCCTTATTTGAGAGAAGTAGGTAGTAATTTGCATTGTTTCAAATGCAGTTCTCAAGGATTTTTAAACAGGTATGCAAACCTGTTTATCACTAACATATGAATATATATCTGACAGTTATTCTGACTATTTAGGTAATCCTTTTAATTTTCCTACAACGGGAACCGTTCCAACAAGGAAGACAGAAAGGAACTCTGTTAATCATTAACCAAGCAGAAACCAATCTGGCAGATTTCCCCTATTCCGAGACCTCATCTGGAGCCGGGGAGCCAGGCCGAGGCGAGGCACAAAAGCAGCAGGTCCTCAAAGACCTGGTCCCGCTACTCACCATCACGGTGTTGTAGAGGACACTTCTCTCCAAGCGGGAGGATCTTGTCTTCTGGCTCCGAGACCAACTGTCCAAGATGACAGCAAAAAGGCTTCGCTTTTGACTTTTGGGCTTTGAACTCAAATAAGCGGGTTTGGCCTTCAGCTTTCCCACAGACCCGCTTGCTTGCACCTTTTCCTGAATTTCTGTCCTGGATATCTCAGCCCGGTTTTCTTCCTCTGTTGGTTCATCCTCAAATTTAGTATCTGAATCAGGCTCATCAGAAGACTGTTTCTTCGTTTCTTTGGCTTGAGGTAGTTGTGCTGGAAATAATTTTTAAAAGAATGTGTATGACATCTATACGTGACTGAAGTGAAAATTCAAAGCCACAGGAATATTAGCATAAAGAAGCTGCATTTAAAGAATTGCTCGGCTATGAAAGACGAGTCAGAGAAACATGCACATCTGTGCCATGTACCTTGTATTGGAGATTTTTATTTAAACTTGTTCATGTCACACGTTAGATGCTGCTTTCTCAGTCTAGCTGCAAGCCTTGAATGTTCAACCTGGGCCTAGGATCTGGACAAGGTTCTTCTAAATATTTTTCACCCAGAATAGAAGATTTTCCATCCCAACTAGACATTCAGAATAAAAGATCTGAAAAATGCTTGATTGTGGCCAATTACATCTTAACCAATTATTTTATAAAGGAAGAGCTGAGATAAATACTAGATTTTTTTTTTACTTGTGCCTGCCGTAAGGTAGCAAAAAATAAGCAGATATGAATGAAGTAGTCAGGAAGACGTTGAAAAATGAACATTTTTATTTCACTCTGGAGACTGACTGAGAAACTGTCATGCCTTACTCCAACCAAAACACTATCACATGAAAATTTGAGAGTGTATGTAGCCCTATTGGTTAAAACAGAATTTAGAGCATTTATATAGATCCCTGGAGGCCTAGAGGTGTTAGCAGTCATCCTACAGCCAGAAATTGTGAGGGTAAATACAGTTTATACAACTTATAAATCTTCTTTAAGGTATCAAGATACTCTAGAGTTACTCTGGCTAGGCAAAAGCCAACAGCCAGCCTAAGTTTTAATGTATAGCACGGCTATCCTACACTTGTAGCAAACATATATAAGGTTTCATTCTTCTCTTATTGCTCTAGAAGGAAGCCATTCCCGTGCTGGGCTGCATAGTTTGTAGCATTGTCCCAACCTACACTCTTTAATTCCCAGAATCAGTTATCCACAAGAGGAGAGGCCCTTTTGAGCATTAGCTGTTTGTTAGAGCTGGAAAAAGCTGAAAGGCAACATGGTGCTACTTCTATGGGATCTATACCACAACATGAAGTAAAAGCATACTGTACCAAACAGCTCTAAGAGTTTGTTGAATTCTGTTCTTATGTCCTGCAGCTGTTCTGCAAAGGCAGAAACGCAGCTTTTGAACTTGAGATTGATTCCTCAGCTGTGGCTGCTTCTGCTCCGGGGTTACAGCAAACCAGCAGTGCTTTATCCCTACGAGTGCATCCACAAGCCTATTATTAGCCTAAACCAAAGCCTGTTATTAATTACTGCCATGTTAGAAACAACTATCAGTGGTGGATCGGAAAGAGACGGCAAATGCGAATAAAGGAAAATACACGGCCTCCTTCCCCCAGAAGTTTTCTATCAGCCTCAGCATTGATACAAGAATCCCTCGACCCTTTCACAGGTGACCCCCCAAAAGGGAGAAATACAGGTGAACTATAACACCAGAATTTGAAATGTTCCAAGGTTAGAGTGTTACATTTGCTTTCTGGGGAACTTGGGAAGGGAGGAAATTAGAAAAATGATTTGTCCTTCACCTTTATTACACCAAATTTCCGCTGAGAAAAAGGCAGAGGGCAAGGAAGAACAGCTGGCAAGTCTATCTTATAAATATTTTTAACAGAAAGATATAATAATTTGAGTTAGATTTTCCATATGCTACCAACAGTACTAATAAAGAAAAAAAAAAAGTTTAGTTTCTATCTGCAACAAGCAGCATCAGGCTAAAAATAGCTACCAGAATGCTCATACATAAAACCTTTACGCAAAAGCATTCCTCCAATCCACTGCAGAACTTACCTTCATTAAGTAAAAGCTGTAGCCAGATAATCATGAAGACCAACAGCAGTGCAAAAGGCAAACAAAGCCAGAAGAAAAGAAGAGGAAAGGTCAACTCATTCACCAAGGGGACCAGAGGATACTTCATCGCTCGTTTCAGGTTACACGAGGTTTAAACTCGCTCCGCTCTTCTAACTACCTTTTAATAACTCTTATTGCATCACCACAGCTGTCACAAGAAGCCTGCTGACATTCTCAGCGTAGTTAGCAAAAGGGACGGCCCGTGCTGCAGCGGGAGGGAATAGAAAGGATTAGGTCGAGGATAAGGAGGAGAACTGAGAAAACATCGGATTGTCCCTCCTTCTGCGGGTGATTAGAGAATGACAATAAATTAGGAAGCCCTCAAGGCTTGTGTTGAAACAGTAGTAAAAGGTACTTTTATATCTCTAGATACAGGATAGATAACCAAACAGTGCTTTCATCGCTGCCTGAAACTACGTAGCCAAGATAACTTTTGAGGAATCAATAAAACAGAAACAGTCCTGCAGAGATGGCTAAAGGGGGTGATTTCTGGTTAAAAATTACTTAGGCAAGGCTCTCTCCTTTGACATGGATCATAGGTATGCCTCGTACTAACACGCATGCTGTTTTTAACCTTCTCTGGAAACTTCAGTCTGTTAACAAATCCACTAGGAAAATAAGCTTTCACAGGCCAATTCCCTATATTTTGTTCTCCTCCAAGAAAGGCATGCAAGTGCGTTTCGTAAGATACGTGTTTCTACATCCATTTCTTGATAATAAGGGAGTTTGGTAGTAATCACAGTAGGAACAGATATGTGACTTTGGCAATTTGGTATTAATTGTTTTTGCAACAGTGGACAAGCCAGTTAACCTCTGTGCATGTTTCTCACTCTGTAAAATAAAACCATTATGTACCACTTACCTCACAGCGAGGGTTGTTCGGCTAAATTAATTGTTTATGTAGCTCTTGGAAAACCTTGGAGGAGAGGGTCTGTATGAGTGCACATTATGAATGATTGCATGCATTTAATGGTCTTGTTGGGTGCTTACGTTTGTTTTTATGTAGCAACAGACTCTTGAAATGAGCCGTTTAATCTCAAGATCTAAATGAATTTTGCAAATTCTTGTTGATTTACACTAACAATACCTTTGTGTGATAAAAGAAAGCTATTACACCTACTTTGTGCTTTGGGTAAACAAATGAAAAAGGCCATTAAGGGCGGGAGTTTCAGGGACACTAAATATTTGCAGCCCCCATTTTCCACAGTGGAAGCTGTAGGTACTTGGCACTTCTGAAAATGGAGCTGTTAGTGTCTTGTCTACCAATATAATGACAAGAATGACAGAAAGGAACAGCAACCAGGAGTTTTGATGTAAATCTCCTGTTTTAACAGTAAAATCCTTCTCTTAGTCGTAAGGACATAAAAACTCCAAACATAAAGAACACTCTGCTGAAAAAGAATTCAAGTTGAGAGCTTGAAAAGGTTTAGGTACACAATTTTAAATGAGAAAGGCAGAAGAATAAAACAAGGAAGGAATTTAACTCAGCCACTGACATTTGAAAGCAGGCAGAGCCACAGATTTCTCCTGCCCATCTTGTCATGCCCAGCGTGGTGCTCTGTCACTTAAGTGAGGTGCTAGCACCTTTCAGGGTGTATTTCAGGTGTTCTTCACTGTGTTGACTATGTCTCAGGGTGTTCTGCACTATATTGACCAGTTTCTGCTATGGTTTGGAAGAGTATCCTTGCCCGCCCTTGGCCTTTCTGTGCTGTTAGGTTGCCACCAAAGTAGAATGTTTTCCCTCCTGCACACCCACCTCTTCCATGTAGGTGTGGGAGTACAGATCCAGCAGAAATCAATGGAAACATAGAGGACATGTCAACAACTTGCAGCCCTCTGAAGGTGCCATCCTCCTCTGGCGGAGAGATATGAAAGCTGAAAGCTGAATGTGAACGAAGCTTAGAGGAAATAAGTGTTATACCTGTGCATTTTCCAGAGGCAGCCTGACACAGGACAGACAGACAGACATTGCAGTGGGTTTACTGTCACGCAGATCAGACTGACTGTGGTACCCACCCATCATTCAGCTACGTGAGCAGATAAATTTGACCCTCTAGTGCTGAGTACATAAACAAGGGAAATTACTGGCCTAGAAGGGTTATTACTATTGAATGACAGTTAAATCTCTCTCGTCCTTGATTTTAAGACGGTTTTGAGGGCACAGGTCCTCCCCTGTGCAGTCCTGAGATGGCACTGGGGCCTCCAAAGGCTGGAACTACCGTAAGCCACATGTGGGCAGAGATACCTCGGAATTAACTGATGCTGTTGCAGTTATTTATGGGCTTTTCATTATTGACCTCTCGCTTCTGATAAATACTGTTATTAAGAGCTGTTGTTATTTATTGTTGTATTAGTATGACACCTAATTGCCTAACAGCCCGGTGGAGGTTTCACTTATGCTTAACCGGTTGCTCCTGCTTCTAAGGAGCAGAAACCTAAAGCAACCCTGGGGGGTGAATGCAGGGAACGGGCAGTCTCAGGCCGCGCTCGGAGCGCTGCAGGGACCTGCTGGGCAGCTCCATCACGGCGGGGGAGGAAGGGGGCTCGCATCCAGCGCTGGGACCCCAAGCACGGCCGCCGGGACCGCGGTGACACGGGGG